TGATAGATATGAAACAGACAACATATTCCTTTAAGCATCAGCTAGAAGATCAACAGAAATCCAGCTCAGATAACTTGAAAAAGCAATACAAATCTCGTATCTCTACATTAGAAAAATCTATAATCGTAAAAGATAAGGAGATTGGCAAGTTGTCCGTTTCTATCTCCCAACTTAAAAATGATAAGAATGCTCTGAAAAAAGACTTCACTTCTACTAAAAAGACTATTAAAGTATTGGATGATATTATCTATAGTAAGGATCAGACCATTATTGTTTATAATGAAAGATTACGGAAAATTAATCCTGGCTGTATAGATAATACTATAGAACCAACTAGCTTTTATGAAAAAGATGCTAAAGTCTTGTGAACTAGATGGCGTGATGATACTTCAGATGAATCAGATATCCAAAAAAAATATACATTTCGATCATGCGTTTATATGAGTTTTCCAAATATTTTACATTAAAGATAGTTGAATAAGTACTGTATTTTTTTTTAAGTACTGCTGAGAATTTCTGGAACTGCTAGGTATTGCTGGGAAATTTCTGGAACTACTAGGCACTGCTGAGAAATTTCCAGAACTACTGATTTCTGCTGGAAAAAAGTTTTATTACATAGAGTCTTTCTAGATAAATGCTGTTTAAGTTTAGAAGGATATTGGAATTTCTTTCCACAGTACTGACATGACCAATCATCTAGTTTTTTTTATAGGTTCTGGTTCCTTTTTTACAATAAAGATATTACACTGAGATTTGTGAACTGATAGGGGGATGGTAATAGTCTTTCCATTATATGTAGCCTTAAATTCTCCTTTTATTAAAGGCTCCCATCCAGCTCGATATTACCATTGAATACCAAGAATTACTAAAGATTTAGCATTTCCATTACGGTCCTTTTCTGCAGGTACAACAGAAACATCATCTATGACTAATGCTGTATTATCTCCAAAACCAATTGTTATGGGAACATTATCAATAGTGCCGATGGATATGGATTAGCTTGCAACTCCATTAAGTCTATGAATTTTTTCCTATTAATTTTAATACCTACAAGCTCTTCAACAAGTTCAGCAATATTATCCGAAAATATGGAAGAATCAGAACCAGTATCAATCATTGCGCAAGGTATGATCAAACCTCCTATTTTATAATAAATAGTCGCAACATCATCAGCATCCTTTATTTGTAAAAAATTTATCTCTAATGGCTTGTCCAATATATTTGACTATTTTTTTTTCCAGCTGAATGACGTTGAGCATATGCTTTAATAGTATGGTTTAGCATATTAGAACCTACTGGTATTAGGCGGGAGGTGCTTTGCATATCATTCATGGGTTCATCTAGATTCTCTTCTATTGGGACTTGAATAAGAGGTTTTTGCTTTATATTTATGGCTTGGAATAGCGGATGTAAATCATCTTTAATTTTGTCAGTGACAAGCTCCCATACATTTTCCCTTTCCTTAACAGTATCATCTTTCATAGCCGTATTTAGAATCTGATCTTTCAATTTGGGGTATATTGTATTAATATATTGAGAACCTTCCTTAAGAATTTCTTTAGGAATATGTTGTACAACTGATGATAATATAGATTTTAAGGCTATTAGAAAAACATAATCTATAATCATGGTTATAGATGCTGAGGGTTCTACTTTTTTACGAGATTTGGAAATAGGGGATTCCTTCTTGTGGTCTTTTTCATAGGTACTGCACTTCGTATTACTTTTTTTTTATAGCATAACAGTTTTGGTCAGAGGTGTTTAGGGTAGAATCATCATCATCAACATATTCGACATCTTCTTCTACTTCCTCCTCAAGTATGTATTCTATTTCAGGTTCTTCAGAATCATCAGGGGGTTCTCTTGTGATCGGATCTTTCTTAGCATTTTGGTATACATAATTAACCTTTTTAGTTGTCTTAAATCCAGGACAATTAGTCTTTATATGGCCAGCTTTTCTACAGACTAAGCAAAGACGAATAAATCGTTTAACTGGTGCTTTTTATTTTACCTTTCTAACAGCTTTCTTTGTAGCATTTGTATTTCTAACCTTTAACTCTAAGAAGGGGCTCCTTCTATTATATGCTGATGTTTTAGACCCTAACCTTCTTGTAAGATCGTTATAAATATATAGACATAAAGTATTAACATCTGTTGCTATTCCTGTGTAATCTAAATCCTTTGCCAATTCCTTTGTAAATTCAAGTACTTTAATTCCTTCTACTAATAAATCTTTTTGCAGATGAAAAGTTAAGGCCTGGTTAGGAGATGGAATTTAAGATTGCATACCTATATTTATCTAAGTAAAAGTACTTACTCCGACTTGATGTTCGTCCAAGCATTTTTTAAGTTTTTGAAAGAAATCATCTACAGTTGAATTTACACCTCCTCCTACTCTTATAGCCATATACATTTTTATATTACTACGAAGATCTGGAGGTAAATGGGTATATAATGCTGGTAATACTTGA